TTTAGGATGAAAGGAACGAGAAGCCAGGAAATATGGCAAGAATATTTTTGAGGATTAGTAGCTGGGAGACTGAGGTCAGGGGCAGGCTGTCACGTTACCCGCTCTAGAAATGCTTTCTTGGTTCTGTGAAATCTGTGGAATAATCTACTTATTGGCATGGCATCCTTTAGTGAAACCAAATTACGGGGGTAAATAGAAAGTACAATGAAGAGCCTCCTGCTGACAGACTGCATTTACTCTGTGGGCTTCTTCCAACGCAGTTCTTGGAATTGGCCCATAGATCAGAAACAACATCTTCTGGATCTAGGTCATTGCATATGAACAATGAAATCTTGGTCCTGTCATGGGCAAACAAATCTCTACTCCATTCCAGTGGGTTAATATTTAACCCAGTCATGCCCAGGGAAGAGGTGAATGACTCTCTTTGTTTGCCCAAGAGCAGGGTCCTCGGTTTTCACATCTCTACCAGGATTGGGGATCTTTGGAATTAATCTCCCCACCTAGTTCATCTGATCACTATAAATCAGAACCAGAGAGGCCTCTGGATTCAGACAGCTGGAATCCATCTCCAGGAACAAACAGCCAGAAGCTGCCTTCAGTTGGAGAGAAATTTCCAGATTTTTGTAAGATGCTTACCCCTGGGTAATCTATTATTCTATTTGTTTATCTATATATACTATTTCTAGCCATCTATCCATTTCAGCGAAACCATTTTCTCTGGGTGCGACTCATGAATTAAGGAGAAAAGTCATCAGATTTTAAAATTTAAAATGAAAACAGATTTCTTTGGGGATAGCCTACATGTGGATAAAGGAAAATTAGTGAGATTGGGAGCAAGTGGAGATTTAGGAGAGATCTCTGAGTTGTGATAAAATCTCCAAAGACCTGGGGAAGCCATTTGCTGAAGGGCACGTGAAGCCCCCACCCTACCTCACCTCTGTACAGGCATTCTGGTAGAACAAGGCAAAAAACAGAAAATACACTTTTAGCTCTGTTTTCTTCTAACCTTCTCTACTTTTTTTTTTTTCTTCTTGAAAAGTTTGATTGCTCTTTGAGAGCAAAGTGGAACACATCCCAGGATCAAAAGAAGGTACGCTGGCAGGTCAAAGGGAAGAAAGAAGGAAAGGAGAGAAAGGGAGGAGTATGGATTGGGTGTTATGCTTTCGCTTTGGGGGATATCACCCTAGTATATATAAAAGTGTGAAGCTGCATTTATAGAAATTATAAACACAGTTACTCATCATAGACTGTCAAGCTAACTCCCTGGTGTATAAAGTTGGATGGCTCTCTTGAATACAAAATATTGCCAGTGGAGACAAGAAGAGAATATTAATTCTTGTGAAGACTAAGGGATTGGTTTGAGAGAAAGGATAAAGTTAGTTTAAAGAACAGTTGGGACAAATTCCACTGATAAAAATTGACAGTTCTATGCTTAGGTGTAGTAAGATATGTGTGAATGAGTTTGACCACCAGATGTGAGGCTGTGCATACTCGGCAGATACACTTCTGTACCATAAGTAATCTGTTTTGTACTTGTTTTCTTCCAATACCATTTTACCTCTTTTGGAAAATTAAGAATTGAATATATGAGTGAGGATGTTATGAGTGAGTGAACAGATATTAAATACTGGTGGTCACTGTGTGTACTGGCTGAGATTTGGTTTCTGGATGTTTTAAGGAGTCGAATTTACAAAAAACCTGAGCAAAATTTAGCTGAGTTGTTACAGAATGAATGTGCAAATTCTGCAAGTTAGAAACTAAGATTCTCCTTTACCTCTTCAGACTGAGATGTGAGACCTTCAACCTCCAACCAGCAGGTGGCATTGTAGGATGTGCAGCCCCTGTGTAGCGTCAGTCCAGTGCCTTAACTTGAGGTAATCTGTGGACTTGGCTTACACGCTGAACCTTAAGAAATGATGCATCTCAGGATTGGATGGGCCACTGGTCATTCTATCATCTATTTCTTCCACTTGGTGCTTTGTGCCACTGTCTACACTTATACAAACTTGTCTGTAACACCACAGTCACTCTACTTTTGCTAGAGAAACTAGAAAACATTTTCTTATGCTTAATGAGAACCGTGGAATTTTCAGGCTCTTTTAGAGTTAGCAACTCTCTCATTTTACAGATGAACAAATTTAGGCCTGGAAAGGAAAATGAAGTCAATCATTAAAAAAAAAAATTATTGAGGGTCTACTATGAGGCAGGCACTGTGATTCAAGACGTATAATATGGGCTCTGTCCTCCTGTAGCTTGTACGCCAGTAAGAAACACTGACAAGTGAACAGGTAATTGTTAGTCCAAGAGTACATAAATAAAGGCTTGGAAATGAAACCCATGAAAACTGACAACAGGTATATCTTTATTTTACTATATCCCTGTGCACAGATCCAGAGCTTTGTGACTTTTACTTTGACATATATATCCAGTAGGGTGGCCTTGGTCTTCATATCTAAAGCATGGAGTGTTTGGACAGACTCTAGACAGGCCTGACAGCTCAGACTCCCTTCTGTGAACAAAATCCTCACAACCTATATAGCACTGGCACCTCCTACAAGACCCAGTGTCTCCACTACCACACGGAAGACATTGACAACATTTCTACCCAACACTGACACCTAATGACTCTTTTGGGTGCTACCAGCTCTGGTTCTACTTCCTGATTTTGAAATGTGAGATTCTGGCTCCAGGCAGAGAGGTATTGACTCCATGACCTCTAGGGTCCTGTTCTATCTTGGAAGCCTGTCCGATTACCTTTGATGTTAGAAGGCAATATTTATCCACTACAGAACAAGAGACCTAATTGAATCCAAATCAGTAAGATTTTGATGAGGTCTTTCCATAAACTAGAAAGAGAAAACACATTCAGAAGACTAAAAAGCACAATGTAAATGTAAAAAGCTTGGCAAATGGGGAGCGTGGCAAGCAAGCAGCTCTGCTGAAGCAGTGGCCATGTATGAATACTTGTTATTCTTTTAGTGGTGGCTCTCCCCTCTGCAATCATGCACCACTTTCTTACTAAACTCTGAAGACCACATGTTCACTTAATTCTATTACAAATTATAATCTGTGCTTAATGGAAACTTTTCCAGCTGTTATTTTCTTCATGTGTAATTTGGTACTTTTCAGCGGTGTGTGAAATTTGTCTATAGTTATCATGGAACAGACAAAGTGGATCATAGTCAGAGGCTGATGAGAAGGAGAGCTCAGTTTGCTCATTCTGTCACAAGCCTTCTCATGTAACCATCGAAACCCTGGAATCTCTTCTCTTTCTAGAGTCGCAGAGCTCTTTAGTAACCGTACAGGCTCAGTGCTAAGACCTGTGGCACCTTTAAGGGCTATACAAATTTTGACATGAAAATATTGTTTATTAACATACAAGAAAAGCACAAAATAAAATTTAGTAATTAATGTCTATGAAAGTGTACCATCTGTTTTTAAATTTAGGATTTATATGAATTATATTACATTTAAGAATAATTTGGGTCAGATTTTTCTTTCATTATAAAAATTTCTCAGTATGTATGATGATTGCCAAGAAATCATGGCCAATCATAAAGTAAATGAATTACTTATAGACAATTTGAAAAACAAAATTATAAAAATAAGTTTCAAATTTATAATGAAAAGTTATTTTTATTATTGGATGTGGGGACATTCACATATATTTTGGGTTGGATTATGATGGTTTTTACAGGCTCTGAATATTCTTCAAAATGGTCTCCAAAGAACTAAAAGCATAGTCAGAAACTACCTGCTGCAAACACCAAATATTTTTCAATTCTCAAATCTTCAAATTTCTTAAGAAATAAAATCTTAAAAGTTCACAAGAAACTTGTTTTCTATTTTGTTGTAATCTATACTTGTTTAATTATATTTTAAACTATCTATCATTGAGTTAAAATCATGCTCCAGGAAGAAGCACCATATTGACATTATGGGGGTGTTTAAGTGCCCGTGACATACCACCCCTGGGATGTGGGAGTTCTAGAGTTTGAGACCGATAGCACTTGAGAGATGATGGCAGCAATCCTCTTCTGTTTTGTCTTCTTCTTTTAAGGAAGATGTTAAGAAATTATGATAGTAAATTGTAAGGCCTTTGATTTGATGAAAAGGTCTAAGGAGTTTTGGGGCGAGGATTTATCACACGGTCACATCGTTTGCCTGTCATGTAACAGTCTATGTACATTTGCAGGGGAAACTAGAAAATATTTTCTGAGAATAATCTACATTGTTCTATTGCAATAAGTTTCTAAGAATAAGCTCGAATTCCTCTTCCTCCAGTCCTCTGTAAAAGTTGACCCCAGGCCCACTTCCAAAAATACACAGAAGTACTTTTTCCATGCTCCTCTCTGTTTACATTCTTGGGAAATTAGGTCTGTCTCCCTTCACTCTCAGCTGCTCTCCTCTTCACAGCCAGCTGACTTATTAACTTGAGTACCTAGAATCCTGTCTTTAACAATCCTCTGATTGACATTTCCATGGGCTCAGGGGGCCCTAAAAGTTCCTCTTTTTCATAGCTCTCACCTACTATCTTACTGTCCCATCTCAGTGAACTGGAGTTCCCATCCCTTCCCCACAGATGCTACATCTTACTGCAGGGAGGCATTTGATATGTCTTAATGGTTTGTGTGTTCCAGAACATAATGCAGTTCCTTAATGTATCCAGTAGGGGCTTATGCAATGTTTGTCATTAAATTAATCGATAAATGAATTAAAGAGTATGAATGGATTTTGTAATTGATAGAAAGGTAAGTACAGAGTGATCCTTAAGGGATAGGAAAAAAACAGTTGGAGCTAGAAGATGTGTTCAGGAAATTTAGGTTGACTTTCTAAAGGAATGGATTGACAAGAAATTTGAGATTAATGAGGAAGAGAAAAAAATATATAATTAGGTAATCGAAGATACGTGTCTCATGATGCCCTGTCAGAGAGAAAAATCTCTGTCCTTTTTGACTAAGTTGCCCTACCATATTTCTTTTTGCCCTTGGCAGGAACCTTTGTTGGAAGAGATGATGATGGGCCTAGGACTCCTATTATTGGTCTTCATGATGGGTCTGGATCTGACTCTGCCTACCCTGGCTCAGAATAACCACAGGTACAAACAGTTCCTACCCAGCACTATGATGCCAGACCAAGTGGCCGGGATAAGAAATACTGCGAAAGCATGATGATGAGACGAGGCCTAACTACACCCTGCAAAGATCGCAACACCTTTATTCATAGCACCATAAACAAGATCAAGGCCGTCTGTGAAGATAAGAATGGGACACCTTACAATGGAGCATTCAGAAAAAGCAAGTCTCCCTTCCAGGTCACCATTTGCAGGCATGCAGGAGGGTCCCCCTGGCCTCCCTGCTACTACAAAGCCACAGCAGGGTCCAGAGACATTGTTATTGCCTGTGAAAATGGCTTGCCTGTCCACTTTGATGAGTCCTTCTACCGACAATAACCAGCAGGCCACTGGCCCAGAGTTGGCTCTACACTCTTTTCCTCGCACTTCCTTCTGCAAATTCCAGAAAAGTGGATCTTTTGTTTTCTGTTTTACAATATGTTTAATAAATAAAAATGTCTCTGAAATCAGTAAGCATCAAAAAATAAATAAACAAATAAATAAATAAGCTTTATAACAGTAAATATATTTGCCTGAAGTTATGTTCTGGATGTATATTCGGGAAAATTATTGCACTGTTGATTTTTTTAGAGGCATACTGTTTTTATAATTTTCCATTTTTATGTTTATTGCTGTTTTGTAAGCATAAAATTTAAAGAATTAAAGATGCTACGTAGTCCTGTCTTAGTAAAAACCAGAATTAGCAAAACATGAAAGGAATAAATACAACCTTTAAAATAATAAATTATAATAATTACATGTTGTTAGTGATACAACATAACAATATAATATACTGAATAAATAGATTAATCAGATGAAAGAATGCGAAGAGATAAAGGAAATAAAGGCCATTGTCATGGTGAGAATAACAATAAATAACAATAAATAATATCATCGTTATAGGAAAAATATATCAAGTTATCCTTGTGGCATTTTAGTAGTTATGAAGTTGGTCAGCTTCAGGCACCAATCCAAAAACAATAAGACTTTAGCACACTGGAATATTTCTAACCAAAACTTCGGCTACTCAATCTGCAATAATGCCTTAATTCACCCCGTGGAACTGTCAGTTTTTCACACAAACTTGTATGTTGAGTTCCCAGTATGTTTTAAGAACTATATCAAAGCTCAGTAAATATTTGTGCATAAGACATTCATTTCTGCCTTGGGATTGATGGCATTTGTAAATAATGTATCCAGTCTGAGAAAATGGTAGAGAGAACCAATAAGTAAAGCTTTCCCATTCAGAACTTAAACTTTTTTCAAACCTAAGTATTTATTATATTTAATGGAAACATTTTATTAAATGTTTTATCCTAGTCTTCAATCTCCTGACTACCACCTTGTAACGTGCATATGGTTAGCCTAGCTAGGTATTTGGGGGATTGTGTGTTTTCTTTGGTTGTTTACTACCTCTTCCTTTTCCATCAATACTATATATTCATTTGCTATCTCTTCTTTATTCTCCATGTCAGGAAGAACATGTTTCCTTTTTTGCTAAAGCAGACATATTCATGTGTTATAGATTCTAACTTCTCTCAACACTTCTGGAAAACTTCAGTATCTTTAATCCTATTCATTTTCCGTGTCTCTCATTAGAGGAGAAAAATATACTATATTTTCCAATTTAAATACCCACAAACACTCATAGATTGCTACCCTAAATGTACTTTGGAATTATTATATTTTCACTTTTTATTTCGTAATAGCGCCATAATCTTTGTTTTCTTGCCCACTATTCATTTCTTAGTTTCTTTTCTCAGTGTTTGTGTGATATTTTATGTAACCATAAATCTATTGAATATCATGATCCCATATATATTTTATTTTTTCCGATTAAAGATGTTTCCACATTTTGCAGAAAATTTATTATCTGAAGAAAAACTGAGAAAAAAAGTCTTTCGGATTTCCATTAAGCAGAGAAAATTATTTAAAAACATTAAGAATAAACTGGATTTATCTTAATGTATAGTTATTACTTAATCACTCTTATATTTACTAAAGGTTTTTTGTGGCAAAGTTTCTCTACTATAAAATTACTGTTTCCCCATTTATAATTAATAAAGACTTGTTTTGGGAGAGACACTTTGAGACTTCAAAAATCCTGTTGCTCCTTATATTTGCCCATTCATTTTAGCACCTATCAGGCAATCTTGCCTGCAGCAAGTTTTTTTAACAGGTTATAATGGTGACATTTTATTTCATTTATTCTTTTAATATTTACTAACTGGAATACTTCTATAAGGAAGAGGTATCTCTTCTCCTACATTTATTTTCTATTGAGTTATTTATTGATACCAGTATGGTCTATTTTATTAGTTGATTATAATACAATACTACTATTATTTACTTTGTTGCTCAAATTGTTCCAATGTTAGCTATTGGGAACACTTTTAATTTGGCTCCTCTGCCCTTCCAATAGGACACAACATTATTTTACTTTACTTTGTTTTTAGCATTTCTGTTCAGCACAGATGTTCTGGGCTCATCTTGTACACTCTCTACCTGTGCCAGAAATCATTCTCTTCTCCAAGGAGCCCTGGTTCACTTTTTTGGAAAATGATATTAGAAACAAGATGGGGATGCTAGATGTGTTCATTGCTACTGCGGTGACACTGCTTCCAGGCTTTTCAGTGGGTCGAGCCAGGATCTATTGTATTAATTAATGCATAAAGGCCTTTGTGCTACATATATGAGTATCAATATTGGAATGGAATCAATAATGTAAAAGGCACAGTAGAAATCCAACCACATGGGAAATATTTAATCAATAATTTGGTAAAGGCTTTAGTACTTTATAATGCACAGTAATAAATATTTATTTACACATATTAAGCAATACAAAACAACTGTTTATTTCTGATAAAAAGTTTTATTTACATATGCATATTCACATCATATTTTACATCAATAAAAGTCTCTATTTATATCTTTATGTCATCACTGGGGTGAGAGGTGAAATCCGGCATTACCCCAGTGGCATGGGGGAGGAGGACAGTGGTGGATAATGGAGCATGGTGGACAGTGGTGTTATGTGTCCTTCCTTGGTTCTTCCCTACAGACGAAGCAAAAACTTATGCGTCGGCGAGATTTAGAAAAAGTAAGATTTGTTGAAAGTACAATTTAGAAGGAGTCGGGCCATGCCCAGGAAGATAGCAGCCTGTGGAATTTAGGAGATAGAGAGATAAGATAGTACACCCCAAGGGAGGGAGGGGTGGGTTTCCAGCCAGGAAAGCTATAACAATGAAGAGATGGAAAAATCTGTTTATATTTGGGCCGTGATGGGTGGGCCTAGATGAGCCATGTGTAAGGTCACCTTGACTGACAGTTGGCTGCTATATAACTTTTTGCCCACTGCACACGTGCTTACCCAGAATTCAGTCTGTTACAATTAGATTCATGAACTTCCAGGCATAGTCATGATATTATAATGATGGCAATGTGAGGCTGAAGTTAGGGGCAGTACTTTCTGTGCATGCGTTTGTAGGTGGTTTAGCCAGCAGCTTTTACTCTAGGTGGTTTAGCCAGCAGCTTTTACTACAGCCTTTGTGCTCTAGGATTTGGGGTAATTTATAATCCTAAAAGGGAGGTGTTTCTGGGAGGTGCTTAAAGAAGGTCTTCAAGGGAAGTTTTTATGGTTACAGAGCTGGGCCTTTGCTCCTGCCACTCATGCCTGACTAGCTACCTAACTTTTAGGTATTGCTTTTCTATCAATTTTCTGTAGTCCCCCACCCGTACTACCCACTCACACACCTACACACATATGCACATGCTCAGGAATAAAAATTATCCATTAGTTAAATCTGTATTTTCTTTTCTCTAGGCATATCATCTCCATCCTAATTTTAATCTCTTTGTCACTTTTTCCTGAAACTTTAGAAAAATGTTTTAGGTTGTTCTTTATATCTCTGATACAATTTTCCACATTATCAAATCTGTTCTTTACAATTCAAATGAAAATATTTACTCTGTTATTGCATTTTCATTTCTTTTATTCCATTTTCTTGACTATTGTACTATTTGCCCTTATTATTTTCTTATAATTTACTGTTCATTTCATTTTTGCATTAAAATGCTACCTTATTTTATCCTATAGGGAATATGCAAAAAATATTGCCTATATATATATATATATACACACACACACACACACATATATATGTATATATATATACACAATTATGTATCTATGCACATATATATACCTATATACATACAAATGCACATATATATGCCTATGTATATAGTGCAAAGAGAAAGTCCTTACAAGTATTAAGGAACAGTCTTACAGTGTTAGTAGTTGTATTATTAATGCAGCTCTGCTAATATGTAATAGAAAGCCTATTATAATAGTAACAATTTTACGCTTCTGATGTTCTGAGATGATGTGGTACCTAACTGACTATGATCCCTGGTACACGGCCATGTCCTGTCTGCAGTCCTGCCTAGAGTACTTTGACGTGCAATATGCTTATGAGGATATACATAGAATGCCTTGTGTACTGTTTTCTATTTCCTGTGCAGTTGCTCTCTGAGAGTAGCATTAACAGCGTGGCAGAATATGCTAGCCCACAATATGCCACTTCAGCATCAGTGTTATTTTGAGTGAAAGGCACTTGAAAAACAGAAGATGCAAAAAGAGTATTCTCATTTTCCCTTTTTTCTAAAGATGGGAGATGAAATTCCATATACCAGAAGGAAAGTAACATTTTTATCAAGAAAAGGAAGCCAAGGCCAAGAAAATTCTATACGAACAGACCTTGTTAAAATAGTTCTTATCTTCCTTTCGCCTTCCTGTAATACTGGTTACTCTAGTTTATCCCACTTGTTTGGGTCTTCATTTCCTTTTGAGGGCTCCCATGTCATGTAAAACTTAACATTATTTGCTTTTCTCATGTTAACCTGTATTTTGTTATGGAGACCTAAAATGAATAGAGGGAAAAAAATGTTCCTCTCTTACATCATTCTCCAAATAGATGGAGAAAGTAAGATACCTATGACTGTTTAAAAGATGTAATATTCTGGTGTGTGGAAGGCTGAATAACAACTGTCCCCCGCTCCAAAAAAAAAGATATCCATGTCTCGATCGACAGAACCTGTGAATATATTATCTTAACATAGCAAAAGTGATTTTGCTGATGTAATTAAGTTAATGATTTTAAAATGGGGAGATTGTTCTAGATTATCCAAGTGGACCCAGTGTAGTCACAAGGGTCCTTAAAAGGGGGGAAAGAGGAAGTCCGGACAGTGAATGTCAGAGAAGGGACTGCTACCGAGAAAGCAGAGGTCAAAGTAACGTGTGTGCACAAGGAATGTCTGCAGTCTCCATCGGCTGGAAAAAACAAACAAAAAAAACAACAAAAAAAAACAATGAAATGGACTCCCATCAAGCTTCCAGAAGGAACACAGCCCTACCTACCCATTTTACACTTCTGAGTTCCAGAACTATAAGAT